AACTGCTAGTAATTGATTTGTTATTTAATACTTGGTTATTCTGATACAAGATATTAAGTTTCTTTAAACTTTCTTATTTGTGAATGGCCTCCAGAGCTTGGTACCAGAATAGAGCATATATATATGGTGCTTCCTGATTTGCCACATCCATCAGAATATCTCAAGTACCAGCACACTGACAATTTCCTCCTTATGATCTAGCATATGTGTGAAGAGCGAACACAAGTAGGCACAGATGCAGACCAGCCACATTTGGACAAAGCAGCTGATTACAAACTCCAAAATGGTGTACTTATCTATTTTGTTGAGCTCGGAAGCCTACATAGTACTGATCTATAGGCGCCAGTACTTACAAAATCTGCAGCTCATAGGTACATAGCCATGGCACATATGGCATTGGCACATCCATGGTATAAGCAGTTCTATGGGTTTGTATGCCAATGGATATGGTACCACCAGTTATCCAAATTGGTTGATGATGTAACCAAATGCTGTACCAAATGCCAGATAACAGTGATTCAGCAATAGCCTAGTATCATAATGGTGCCTTCACAGATGCCAACTCCACAGGAACAAGTCTATATCGATCTGCTTACAGTTGGTCCAACTGAGGATCCTAAATGTGAAGCATTAGTTATTATCAATGCTGCAAGTATGTATTTTGAAGTCTATCCAATGACAAATACTACTGCAGGCAATGTCATCGATGTGCTTACTATGAATTGGTTCTAGGCATATGGCCAACCCTGGATTTTGACCTCAGATCATGGGCCCCAGTTTGACTGCATTGAATTCTGCAACTTTTTGCAGAGTAACAACATTATATGGAACCCATCATTGACATACTATCTACAAGCCAATCTTGCCAAAACTACAGTAGAATGCTTCAAAAAATGCCCTGAGGCTGCTCTTGCTGCAGCATCCACATAAGAATTTATGGATGCATCATGCAGCCTAAATCATAGCTTCAAATGCCATCACCCCCAACAGTACAATTGGATGTACTCCAGCTGAGCTGTTCTTTGGTGAATGAAATCAGTACATAATTAACAAGCTGGCTGATAACCTTTACCAGCAAGCATGTCAGCAGCAACAGCATATACAGTAATAAGCAAGACTGCATGCAAATGCCATTGTAGCACTGCACTACTTTTTATCTGGTAAGCTGATGACCACCCATGCTCACCTAATCACACACAACATTGCTCAAGTACCAGAACACTGACACTGTCCATACAAAGTAGTCCAGAGAATAGGCATAGTCTATATGCTCTGTGACAGGCATGAAAACATGCTTACAAAGAACTTTGCCAGTGCTGACTTGATGTGATACCAGGAAGATGATGATGGTGAATAGTGACAGACCAATATGTCAAGCAGACCCAGAGCACCAGGAGCACCAGGAGTACCAGGAGCACCTGGTAGCTCCTTTGGATCATCCAGATCAAGAAGAGGGCCACCTAGTTCACTAGCAGACAGTGGATCAGGGTTGAGACCAAGCAGTCAAGGCCTGACTCACTGGACACCAACACATCATGTGCTAGCTGCAAACGAGACGATAAATTTGGATGACATGCAGGCAGAAGCAATAGTACCAGTAACAGCTGAAATGTCTGAACCAATGGATAGCGCACTGAATAGCCAAGAGGTGCCTAACATTGAGGCTGAACATTATTCTGCATGCTCAAGACCGAATGCATCGACCAAAACGGAGCACCATAGACCAGTAACATGGTCATTGTCTCACGAAACAATCATGCCCCTAGATTATAACCCAGATCGGTATCGGGATGTTTACAGATGGGTTCATGAAGGCCAGACCGATTGTTGTGTCTCGGGTATGATACACTTAGATAGACAGCCTCCTGCAACTGTCTAGAACACGTCTACTCTCCAAGCACCTTTCCACGATGTATATTGAACGTATGAAATATGCTGTATGAAAGAAGGAAGGAGGAATCGCCAGGTGAAAGGGCAGGTGCCCATCTAAGTAGTGGCGCCGGTCGCCCAGAATAGTATGGCCGGCCATTGTAGCCTAAAGGTCTTGATCCATGGGTTCCTAAGATCATAAGGATTTGGAACCACACCGATCGTGGACTTACAGTTGATCCCATTGCTGAACCTGACTCAATACTCGAGGGTCATCCCAACATCTCCCCGGGTATTAGTACGCTGGACGAGTATGGTATCAACAAAGTTCCAGGATATGCAAGACTGTCGGCGATGTACGAACGTGACGGCGAACAAGTAAACCTTGAAGAACCGACGACAAACAGGGATAGCGCTGAGAGCAGCCCTAGCTGCAATTGTGGCTCTGTATTGAATCGTGCTAATTTTAAGAAAACTGCTTGGCATCTTGGGCTCGCTTGGCAGCATCGGCAAGATATTCAAACTCGCCGGACTTTTCACACATGCTCCGGAAGATACTGCCTTGTCTGTTGAGCAAGTTGGCCGGAGTGTCAAACTCGGCAACCTTGCCCTTGTCCAGTACCAGCACGCGGTCATAGTCGATGATGGTGCGCAGCCGGTGAGCAATGCAGAACAGGGTCGAGTCGGCAAACTCGGAGCCACGGATCGTGCGCTGGATACGGTCATCGGTATCGAAATCGACCGACGCTGTTGCCTCGTCCATGATGATCAGTCGCGACCGGCGGACCAGAGCGCGAGCCAGCGCCACCAGCTGACGCTGACCCAGTGACAGGTTCTGGCTATTCTCCTTGATCTCGGCCTCCAGGCTAGTGAATATGCCCGACATGCGCTCCAGCGAGCTGTCGATGGCATTGCCTTCAAACACGCTGATTGCGGTGCTGGCGGTCTGGCTGCCACGCTCGCGCACCAGATGCGCACGGTGCAGCGCATCCCACACAATCTCATCGGGGTACTCGCTGAACGGGTCAAGGTTGAAGCGAATAGTGCCGTTGAACAGCACTGGGTCCTGCGGGATGATAGTGACATTGCGACGGAGATCCTCCAGGCCAATCTTCGAGATGTCGACCCCGTCAAGCACGATCCGGCCCTTGGTTGCCTCGATGAACCGCAGGAACGCCAGCGACAGCGTCGACTTGCCAGCACCGGTGCGACCAACCACACCAATCTTCTCGCCATGCTTGATCGACATGCTCAGACCATGCAACACTGGGATATTAGGCACATACTCGACGACCAGGTCCTCAATCTCAAGGTCACCAGTCCTGGGCCAGTTGCTAACGGGTTTGTTCTCGGGCGTCGACTGAGCGCTGGCCTCCTGGTCAAGCTTTAAATACTGGCTAACCCGCTCAACACCGTTCATGTTCAGTTCATTGTCGCCATAGTTCCGGATGGCAAACAGCATATAGTCTTTAAACTGCAGTGCATGTACCAACGCAAACCCAGCAAGACCGGCGTCGAAGCTGTGGACATTCCACAAGATGAAGAAGGCGCAGAAGAATGACACTGTTGCACCTGCGGCATCAAGTCGGACAGACATCCAGCGGCTCGACACCATTGTTAGGTAGAACGGGCGATTCAGCTCATCGGATCTGTTAATAGCTTCCATGATGTAGTACTTTTTGAGACCAAACGCGCGGATCGACGATACCCCCTGTATCAGCTCGCCAAACAGTGACAGCAGTGGCGCTGAGGCATTTGATTCGAGTCGCTTCAGCTCGCGGGTTGAATCCAAGTAATGCTTGGCAATCACCACATGTGCGATCGTGATGATAAGAGCAACAAAAATGAATGGCGGCGTAACTGCAGTGATGATGACGATAACGCCTAATGCAGAGGTGAAGTCTGCAAACATCCAAATGAGTGGGTCCAGCATATTCGTGCCAATCGATTCCATGTCACAGGAGAACCGGTTAATAATCCGGCCGAATGGTGTCGAATCAAAGAAGCATGGTGTGGCATGGACAACTGACCTGATCAGCTTTGCATGCACATTTCTGGCGGCTTTGATCAGTCCAGAATATGCATAGGCAAGCTTGATAAACAGTGCAAAAACTTCGATGACACCGATTGCCAGGTAAATACTGATCCAAAACGATACTGTATGCTGGCCGACTATGTTGGTGTTTGCTGTTGGTGATACTGTGTCGGTAGAATTGCGTAGAACCACGGGTGGAGATGCTGCGTTGTTTGCTTCTACCCAGATGCGGATCCAGTAGTCTTGAACAATCATAAGCACATTTGTCAGGACGTTTAGCAGAAGCACAGCAATCCAATACCAGTGGCTTCCACATGCCGAGAAGAATATGCCCCAAACCTCCATTTTGACCCGCCCAGTCTCACGCTCCTCGTCCTCAACCAAAGTTCCTTCAAGGTTTGCCGGGTTGATAACTGTACCCAAGCCCCCGTCAACGACCAGTTTGTCCAGTCTCTTGCTGTTGTACTCATCTTCTGATGTCGGATCATTGACAGCCTTGGCCCGCTCGGCATTGCCATCATCTTCGATGTCATCAACTTCCTTGCCCTTTGATTCGTCATCAGAATTGGTGTCTTCCTTGGTGTCGAGCTCAGCAAGTGTGGCAGAGAACCTGCCCAGGGGTTGCAGTTCCTGTGGATTGCCCTTGAGCGCAATCTCGCCCTCACGCATCACCACAATGTACTGCGCATACGGAAGGCACATCGACACGTGGTGGGTGACGAGGACACGAGTGCGGCCCTGCATCAGCGATGTCTTGTTCAGCAGGCATTCCAGCAGGATGTGCTTAGCAGTGTGCGCATCGACAGCTGACAGACAATCGTCAATAAGCAGGATCTTGCGGTCCGAGTACACCGCACGGGCCAGTGCAACACGCTGCTTCTGGCCACCCGACAGCGTCACACCGCGCTCGCCAATCTCGGTCTGGTCACCAGCAGTCAGGATCCGCAGATCGGGCTTCAGCGCACAGACACGCAGCACCTCCTCATAGCGCTGCTGATCATACGGCTCACCAAACAAGATGTTCTCGTGGATGGTGGCATTGCGCAGCCATGCCTCCTGCGCAACATAGCTAATATTGCAAATTGCCGTCTGTTCGTGTGACAGCTTGATAACGTCTTGGTAGTCCTAGTTCGAAGCGATGCTCTGATCGGCATTGACAGTTGGCAGCTGAATAGACCCGCTGATCAATGTCATCTCGCCAATGAGTGCTGACAGTAGCGATGACTAGCCACTGCCCGTCGGACCAGCAATGACCGATAGCCCGTCGGCAGGGAAGCGAATATCGATGTCCTTGAACCTGAATGCAACCTTATCTGGCTGCTCCTGCTGGCTGTCCAATGAAGCATCTGAACGGGTCGAAGCGTCTGATATCAGTGGTGTGTTCTTGTCGACCTTCGTCATATACCCAGTATCATCGTCCGAATTAGTTGAGCTGTCTTTCCCATGTGTGTCCCAGACTAGACTAGCCTTGACAAATCCTAGCATATCACTACTGCCATCTACTCGACAGATCCGCTCTTCAAGGTCATGGGCCTGAGGCATCGCAAGGTACGAATCGATACGTTTCAGCGACACATAGCCCGAAATGACCCAGCTCAAAAAGTTAGGGAAATGCTCCAGTGAAATTCGCAGAAGCTGGAACACCGAGATCATTGTGAATACAATCTCAGCTTTGATTTGATGTCCGAATATGCTGGTATATGATGCAAGTGTCAGTACCATGATGATCATCAGTGACAGAGACGTGACGATGGATGCATAGGCCCAGCCGAGTAGCCATCTCCACATCGAACCCAGCTGCTTTTCGTGGTGCGCGTCGATCTTTTTGAGGAACTGGGACTCCCAGCCATAGAGTTTGACAGCCTTGATTCCTTGCAGAAGCTCTGTAATCGCTTCCACATGCTCGTCACTCAGCTCTGCGGTTTTCTCCTCAAGATCCGACAAATAGCTGAATAGTTTCCTTGTCAGTGGGTAGTACTGAATCACGATCGAGAATCCGATGAGCGATGACCATCCCAGCAGCTTGAACATGTAAATGACGACAATGACTGCTGATAGGGGCAGCGTGTATAGGTCATCCAGGTAGGCGATGACCTTGGCGACACAGTTGAGATCTGTGGTGAGCAGATTCATCATTTTGCCATTAGTTGATTCCTGCGCCGACTCTAACCTATCGTCGCTGCTATCCTCGGCGTCATCACCTGTGACACCTTCAAGTGATCCCTTTGCGCAACGGTTCAAGATCTTGGTAGACAGCTCGCCAACCAAGAGACCCTTCATGCGGAAATCCATATGACGGCTAATCCACACCAGTTGGTCAATAAGCTGCATATTTAGGAATGTGAAGACGAACAGCCCGAATGCATCTAGATATGCACTACGGATCGATTTTGCTAGAGTACCACCCACGGCAGTATTGCCAATAACCTCGATCGACTGCAGAATGCGCTGCAAGAAGAACGGACCAGAGTAGTTTAATACTGCGACAGCCACAGAAAGCAGCAGCTGAGCGAGGAGCTGAGGGGCAAACGTCAGGATTAGCGACAATAGCAGAGACCGACTTGGTTTGCGGTGCTTCGCATAGCGGCTCCAGTTTGGAATCGCCGTGTCGCTCGTATCCAGTTTGTAAAGATCCGCACAGTCGAGCTGACGATGAGAGCCTTTGTAGAATATGTCGCTGACCCACGAGAATGTGAATGTATCGAACAACGAACCACTGTACTCGGGTGTATCGACCAGGGAAGGAGTGCCGTTCTTTCCGCGTGCTTGTGCTAACGGCATTTCAACAAAGTCTCTGTCCGACTCAGTATCCACATATTCTTCGGTCACATCGGTGCAGGGTTAGTGTGGGCAGAGGAAAATTGCATGGTGCTGCGCGGCTCCATGGAGGAAAAACAAGACAGCATTGGTGACTGTAATCAAAAGCAAGTATCGCGAGCGCTGCGAGGCACCAAACCAGAACGGAGTGTCACTGTTCTCGGGCGTGAAGAACGAGAAGTAGACCTCAAGCAAGTCCAGGGCAAGTAGAATACCAATAGCCCCGGTCAAAAACAGCGGAAACAGCCCTCTGTATGAGATATGATCGTGTTGGACACTAGTCGATGGACTACACAGTTAGTCCCAAATCGGCAAGTCGCTGTGAGGAAAATCCTGACTGCAGACCACCAACTATGTGACGTTGAGTTTCTCTCTGAAAGAACTTTTCTTTTTCTTTCTTCTTTATCGGTTTAGCCGCTTAGTATTTTCTCATTTCATATTTATAAAACTTTGCGTATAACGCCTCAGTTAACTTTATTATGCTGTGTCATCCTGGACGAACCTCTTGTGACGTCCTAGAAACAATAATCAAACAGCAGTGGCTGCTGGTTGGGAACCGTTCTGTATTATAGACTGAATTAATGAAGGTATTTTAATGAAATTTTATTTATAATTATAAATGAAACGTGGAGGGTGAGCTTCTGGGTATCGTTCGGCACATAAAAAAGGAGCTGATGCCCATATGGATGGGCTCCTCATCTGAAAACTTTTCGGAAGACTGAGAGAGGAGGGAGAACAGCAGTCACTGCTGCTCAACAAATGTTTCTAGAGCATCACAAGACGTTCGTTCGGGATGACATTGTGTTGGACACTAGTCGATGGACTAAACAGTTGGACCTAAATCGGCAAGACACTGTGTTAGGAAAATTCTGACTCGCCAACTCGCCAACTATGCGACGCTGAGCTCTTCCCGGAAAGAACTGTTCTTTTTTGCATTTCTTATCTTTTCTTTTGATCTTTATTTGTTTTGCCGCTTCATATGTTCCCATTTCTTATTTCTAAAACTTCGCGTAAAACGGCTCAGTTTACTTTACATTGTTAGAATCTCAAGATCCGAATACTATGAACTATTTGAGGTTACGAGCTATTGAGTTGGGTTAGGCAGTAATACACAAGAGAATATATTGGGAAAGGACAGACCAAATCAGTCTTAAGGAAATAATAGTATGAAGGAGACCAGATCGATGACAGGACCGATTCAAGAATAAAAGAAAGAATAGAGAATAAGGATGAGGAGATGTGATCTAATTTTCTGATAAGAACCACCTCATATTTCGTTCTCGGCCCTTCAAGCAGACAAGAGTCGACATTTATATGGCTGTTGGTGCTCAACTGGCCATGGGCGCAGCACAGGGTCATTGTTGACCGTGGATCAGGAAGTCTGTTTCCCAGGAACAAGAATTGTGTTTAAAAGTGGGAGTGTGTTGTCAAAGGGAGTGGCGTGTTCGTGTGCCTTCTATAGTGCTCAGGCTGCGACAGGCTTAGGATAGGGGGCCATTTGGAACCAGATCACACCCGGCCATAGAACACAGACAACTATGAATTATAAACACCAAAGGCAGATGCAGCGAGCTATTGCCAATTCCTACTGTGGGTACTGGTTGCCTATTGGTGAATAAAATAGGCATGTAGCTTCGACGAAAGGTCGAATGGAGCCATGACAAATGGAACGTCTGTATATGCTTCGGCTTGTAAAAAAAACCCAACGCAAACGGATTGCTGAAGGCATAGTGACCAAGGTAAACAGTATACTATTTCAGTTAATATATTGGCCACTTGTTTTGAATATGACAATACCGCATGGTTGATTATCGCCAGTACACTTGTTCACACACTTTTCTGTTTCCTCTATAAGCGCTGGAAGTACGACTTCAGTAAGAGTCTTTTCACCTTCATAACAACATACTTTACCTACTCATTTTACTATGGACCATTTCGTAGACAGCATCGAATCGCAAAAGTATATCTGCAGACGATTTGATATGCTAACCTCGCATATAACCATACGATTTCTTTTCTTTTATGCCAATTCTGGCGGTGCTGAGGATTTCATGCCAGGTCGCCAGCTTGAGGAAGGGTTTTATCGGATCCTTGCTCTCTGCCCCTGGTTCGCTGGTGTTATTAAACAGACACGTGGCGGCGGAATGGAGGTTATCGTCGACAAGGGCAATCTGAACATGCCTGACTATCGTGAATCCCAGTCATTGGTTCCTTTCAGCAAGATCCAGTCTTCTGGATTCAACCGTGCAACCTGGCCTGATGATTTGGTTCCTGTTGGGCTGGCTGCATATCCTGATGAGACTACCAGGATGATCAAACTGTTGCATATTCACGTTGTGCGACTGAAGGACAACAGCGGTGTGGCTATTTCTGTCAATTTCAACCATGGAGTCGCAGATGCAACCACCGCTATTACATTCCTTAATCGCTGGGCGGATGAGACGCGTGCACTAGTAACTGGCGTACCTGTGGCGGAAGCAACCTTCTGCTTTGGTGCCGACATCATCAAGAGGCACCTGCCGAGCGAGCGTGCACCTCTCAGTGAAGTGTCCTGCAAAGTGCTTTCAGCAAAATCCCGTGTGGCGGACTTCATCATGTGGCTCTCGCCTAACAGACGCGGCTTGTTGATGAACTATTTGATCAACTCTGCATCTCCGCGTGGGCATCTATTCCGAATTTCGCGTGCCAAGATTGATGGGCTTCGCGACCAAGTGCTTGAACACCTGCCACATGGCACACGTCTGTCTACTAACGACATCATATCAGCAGTTGCACACAGAGTCCACGAACAGGCTGTGGCAAGGAAGCAACAGGGATGGCTTGCAAAACTAACTGATCGGAAGAATCGACTTGCAGGCGAACATTGTACTTTGGTTGTCGCTAATTTTCGCGGCCATCTTGGAATGACAGAGTTGAATTACATGGGCAACCCGGTATTCGGCGAATTTGTTCTCACCCCGATGCACCAGGCACACTTGCCGATTACTCCCAAGACTATTTCTGTAGTTGCTGCACAGATTAGGTCGTTGGTATCGGCGATTACTCTCCCGCGCATCGGACAAAATATTGATGTTTTTGATTCTGGTGAGAAATATGCTGCTGATTTCTTTGCCGTTGCCATGAATCACAAGCTCGTGACAGCAACTTCTAATATAGCATCTACTAAGATGTATGCTGCAGACTTTGGCCATGGCGTTCAAGCATTTTCAACAGTCCATCCTGAGTTTAGTATGGGGTTATTTTCGATCCTTCAGTCGCCACCCCCAAGCAAGGACATTCTTGTCAATTTCTGTGATGCGGCTTTGGTAATGGACGGTTTCTTAAAAAACGAGTTTTGGAGTGACTTCTCAGAGTTGGTTTACTAATATATATGCACGTACATTCACAGATTTCAAACGGTTAGTAGCATGAAGAGAGCGGCCCTATTGTACAGTTGATTCTGATTCCTAGATCCATGACACAATGCATAGATAAAGGTATAGTGGCTACACTATATATTCCAGCACACGCCAGTGTGACTGCAAGTCCTGGTAATTTGTTGACAGTCACTAATTCTAATTCATGCTACGTGTACAAGTATCCCGACAGGCTCTGATTGTACTGGTGAATTTTAAATCAGTAAGAATGAGCTCACAAAATACAGCATACTTTGGATGAGGATACGTTCTGAGTAGCAGGTGCTGTGGCTCTTATAAGGCGATCATGACTGGCACCTTGACATCAAAAACGCGATATTATTGTAGTGGTCCACTTAATATTAGTAATCAAGATGTTAATTGGGTCCTATCCAGATCCCATTGATAATGGCCTAATTCATACCAGTATATGCTCTACGATATTACTTGCAGTCCAGGGTAAAGAAAGTGGTAACTGAACTTAGACACTGGTAAAATGAAAATCACAATAGAGTAGATGCTGTAGCACTCAAGAGTAGGAAGAGGTAGAATTTAAGTGCCAGCATCATCATCATCCGTTCCCTTTAAGGATTGACAACTACTGAGCTTTTGGAGTTTCCGACTCAATTTAATAGCGGGTACATTAACTATCCAATTTTTTTTTTTTGGCATTTCTTCCACTGTACGCTGCTTTCGCATTTACCATTTGACCCACATCTTTTCTCTCTCCTTTTGTCTTCGCAAATACCACAAGCTGAATCAGTTGGCTTGAGCCGAGTGATCCCCGCTCCATGGCTGGTCCCCTGGCAGAGCGCTAACTAGCCACTGAGCCGTGCTACCAGAATCCCAATCTTGATTTTCAGACCATTCCAGTGATTTAGTTTTTTTTACCTGCTTCCAGCAGGATGCGCCACAACGTACTATATCATTAAAAGGAAATACTCTGCACTTAAACAATTGCAAATAATATACAGGATACTTGTACACAACCTCAAGCAGCAATGCGAGTTTCACAGTTCCCACTGCCATGGGCCATTCCCACCACCATATATTGTTGGCATCAACGCAATGCATAGTTAATGCTGTACAGACAGCACGCTTTCTGGATATAAACTCCACGGCAACTCCCGTCGCCAAGCCAGCTTCGTTTACCGCTTTCCTATTTTATACCCATTTACCATGCCAGTTGTTGATATCATTACCAATTCCCACAAAGTTTATGCCAAGTCACTCTCGGTCAAGGCATCGACCTACATCGCGCAACTGCTAGATATTCCTATCGACATGGGGCTCACCACTATCAGCAGAAATCCTAGCATGTGCTTTGGTGGAACTCATGAGCCTACAGCCTTTGTCAATTTCGTCTACTGTCGTACAAGTAAATCTCCCGAACAGAGCACGATTATCGGAAAGTTCACCAAGTTCATATGCAGTGAGCTGGGTGTCGATTCCAAATGCGTTTTTATGAACCTAGTACAGGTAGACCCTGAAGCGTTCGGTTGGGACGGCGAGACACTTGCTCTCTCCTTTCCTAGAAACTACGGTCTCTATTTCCCACTCTAGGTACAGAGTATGGAAATTGGTAGATGCTGTAGGATAGAGGGCTGCCCATATATGCCCTTGCATTGTTTGACTTCATAGTGGCAACCCTTGTTAATCGGCGCTGACTGCCTATTTACACCAGTGTCATAGAAATCTTCATCTTACATCCTTTCTTCTCATCATAGAATGTGTTTGCAATAAATTCTGCCAATATGTTAACCTCTTGCTGCGGTAGGCAACCGAGATTCTAAACATGCACTACACCTCACATTACAGTTCTCAAACCGAGATATCAACGCAACCCATGTCCAAAACCTGTAGGGCGATAATGGCCCTTCCAGCCCAAGACTCTTCCTTCCTTTTGTTCATACTGCGCATTTTTATTCGTTCCACAATGAGTTGTGAAAAGATACTCTGGAAGGTAGACATATTTGGACAGCTGCAGAGGGTTGTTCTCAGAGTATATCGCACACGAGGTACTGCAAAATCAATTATGTGTGTAGCGTGGCGTATGGTGTAGTGCGAATCAGCAGCTACATATAGTACTTCCTTGTATAGTGTATTAGTGGCTGATGGAAAATGCTCTTGAACTACCTCCGTAGGGAACCGTGTCGGATATGTTGGCTCCACTCTATGACTATTTTTTTGAATTCTACCTTACAAGACAGCAATTTGTTCATGTACTTCGCAGGGACATGATAGATATTGCAGGTGTTTTCATAGAATTAAAAGTACTCCTGACTGTGTGGCAGAAGAAATCTATATATAATGATTCCTGATCAGAACTGCGCTGGAGCAGCCTGGTTCTGTGGCTGTTGCATCACAAGTGAAACAAGGCGGATTATTAGCCAGGTTAATCTCATGCCGAAAAGCTCCTGATTATGCGACCGATAAAAATGCACCACGCCAGACGTGAGGCTATCGTGAGTGCAGCGGATATAGCCACACTGACATAGTTTCTATATACCTAGAAAGTGATGCCCGCAAGCTAAGAGCGCTGGTAAGAATTCATTGATATATGCGAAAATATCTATCCGCTTGAAAGCGCGATAGCTAGGAATGGTGTGCAACTATAGTAGCTTCGCTGGAACTCGCGTAATTATACCACGAACTGGGAGGTGTGGTATTTTTGGAATGCCCAATCGGAATAAAAGTAACGGAGCACTGAACACCTTGGCCAAAAATATGGATAGACAAGAACAGCGCATTCACTCCGCATACTCCAGTCGTTCTGCCAGAGTTGAATTTATCTATTGAAGAGGATATCCCCACCTCAAGTACTCATCGTGCTAGTCATGTAAGCGTGCACCATGTTTTGTCGTGCAACAACATCCTCCTACAGTTGTGGCTACCATTTTCCTATACGAGCTACACAATGTGAACATACTAAAGTTAACTGAGGCGTTATACGCAAAGTTTTATAAATAAGAAATGAGAAAATACTAAGCGGCTAAACCGATAAAGAAGAAGGAAAAGAAAAGTTCTTTCAGAGAGAAACTCAACGTCACATAGTTGGTGGTCTGTCTAGTCAGGATTTTCCTCACAGTGACTTGCCGATTTGAGACTAACTGTGTAGTCCATCGACTAGTGTCCAACACATACAAAAGCCAGCTTCTATTTTGAAAAGCACAGCTCTTGCTCTATGCTCTATTTCAATACTTGTGTTGCCACTAGGGGAATAGATCTAACGTTTAACCCGGGTAAACGCAAATACCATGCGGCAGTTTTTCTAGTTCCTGAAATCCAGGCGTGACAGCTATTGGCTATACTGAACACGGGCAATTGATCGGGTAGTACGATGTGCGATGATGGCGGACATGCCCCGTACTAAACTAGGCTGCGACCGGACATCCATGCGGTCCATTAGGAGAAATTAGCCATTTTCCGCATTGGATCCATTGACACCTGTACCGATGTTTTCCGCCTGCCAGTCTTCTGATCGCAGGGGCTGCTGTTTGTGGTCTAGTTTTAGATAGTGTAGTGAGTAGCTACCAGTCTGAAGAGAGAAAGAAGCTCCGCAGACCTGATATTCCAGCTCATTCGCCATAGCACAACACAGGCGATGTGCACAGATAAGACTGCTACCTCCAACTAAAAGGCAACCGCCTGGATATTTCTGAAGGCTATTAGCTGGCATCCTAGGGGGACGGAAGATGCCTAGCCATTATATAACACCAATAACTGATGACTTGACGAGGGCTGTACTGCAGGCTGTAGCACAATAGCTGGAAACGCCAACTGCATATATTCGTGTCATGTGGGCACTGCGGCCACTTGTTCTCCTAAGCATGGGCCTTGCGGAAATGAGCAGGCGGAAATGAGCAGGCGGAGCCTCTTGTTAGACAGGTATTGCAGACAGAAACACCTGTAAAGGCAATCATGCCACCAGGAACAGCTGGCTAGAGCGTGCACTAAGCGGCAGCCGCAAAGGTACGTAGCCACTGCACCTGTCCGCTGGAGGCATTACTCAGCAGGTAGTCGGCGCAGAGAAAAGTATGCATGGGCGGACAAGGTGAATATTCGGCTCCTTTTCCTATATTTGCGCTACTGGTGTACATATACTCCGCGTGTGTTTCAAAGGCCAGCGGTATACCTCGTAGTACACCCCACAAAGTGCGGTGTTGGCAGGGGTCATTAATTCTGGCTAACCTGCCCATTCTGGGTTGCTCGTGAGATCTGTGCTGAGATACTAATCCGGCTAAGTGCACGCCCCTATTTGTGCTGTCGGTATTGGCCTGTCCGGCTGAGATTGTATAAATGGCAGTTTGACGGTAACCGCTATGGCCAGGAATCTCAACACCTAACCAAACGGGCATTATCTTTTAATCCATCTTCATAGTATTGACACGCCTTCGCTATCTAGCAGTACCTATATTTGTATTTCAGACACACCATACACCTACAGCTGCCACTTTATTACTATCCCTTTCTATTGGACATGCCAGTTGACTCACGCACGCTTGGAGTTACAAGGTACCAGGTCTTCTGTACCATCCTGGCCGCCATCGGTAGTTTCAACTTTGGTTGGAACATCGGTTCCGTGAATATCCCCGGCGATGTCTTGCAAAACTGTGTTACTGGCCGCAAGTACTACGGCCGCTTCCCGTCTTGCATCTATGTCAAGTCCGGAACTGTTTGGGGTCTAGTTGTTGGTTGCTTTGCCATTGGTGCCATCATCGGTGCTGTCGTCTCCAACCCTATTATTAACCGCAAGGGATACAAGTTTGTCCTGTGCTGGTTCGCTCTGCTCAACGTTGTTGGTGCCCTGTTGCTGTTGCTGACCACCAAGATCCCGCAGTTCATCATCGGCCGTCTTGTTGTCGGTGTTGCCGCTGGTGCCGCCAACAACGCCATGGCGACCTACGTCTCAGATATGGCTACACCGCGTAGCCGTAACATCCTGAGCGGTGCCCTGCAATTTGCTTGTAACTTTGGTATCATGATTGACAACGCATGTGCCCTGGGCCTCGCTCCTCCCCCTCGCTGGCGCATCTTGTTCGCCATCACCGGCGTCTTTGGCCTGATCAACTTTGCGCTGTTCCCGTTCGCTCCCGAGTCGCCCAAATGGCTGGTCAAGAATGGCCGCATTGACGAGGCGCGCGAGGCACTGCAAAAGTTCCGTGCTGGTGCTGACATCGAAGAAGAGATGAGCGACATTATCCAGACTGACAGGGAGAACCGTGAGCGCACCGCCGATGTCAATGTCATGCAGGTCCTGCGCGGCCAGACCCCCGACAACCTCCGCCACCAGCTGCTCTGTGTATCGGCACTCATGTTCTTCCAACAGCTGTGCGGTATCAATGCTGTCATTTTCTACTCGTCGCAGATCATCAACAAGTCGACGCATGATAACCCCGCCAACATCCCCACTCTGGCCCAGATCCTGTCGTTCATTATCTCGGTGTGCGCTCTAATTTTCACTTTCTTCGGAATGATCCTTGGTGCCTACTTTGGCCGCCGCACCCTGCTCATGTTTTCCCATGGCACAATGGGCATCTTCTCCGCTATCATGGTCGCCGGCTCAGTCAGGGACATTACCGGACTGGTGGTGACCATGGTGTTCCTGTTCAACGCCTTCTTCAACCTCGGCGTCGGAACCATCCCGTGGGCTGCAGCCTCAGAAATGACTCCTGGATATGCGATGACCGCCATGTCTGCCATTGGTACTGGTATCGGCTACCTGTTCACCTTTGTCATTGGCGTCATTTTCCCGCCCATGCAGGCTGCTTGGGACAACTGGACCTTCTTCTTCTTCATGGCGTGGAACATTGCTGCTGTCTGCTTTGTTTTCCTGTTCGTCCCGGAGACCAAGGATCGCCGTATTGAGGACACGGTCCGTGTTCACTCGGTTGGTATCCACATTGTCGTTGGCAAAAAGTGGCAGGTTAGCGCTGCGAGTGAGAAAGATGAGATGGTTCGTGCCGAGGCTGCCGACACAGGGGAATCTCATGTCGCTGCTGGTGTTGAGGCCTGATTAGGCCCACTCAATAATCATTTCGGCGCCATTAGCCCTCACTCAAAATACAGTTAATAGAATGGACTATATACGAGAAGGATCAATGTGCGACGGTGCATGGTTTGGTTCATTTTGCAGTTGATGTTGCTGTGGTTTCAAAATGGGCTACTGTCTTGATCATTATTAGCGATAATTAAGCAATGTGCTTGGCTGCTGCGATTGGCCACATATCCTCATGCTTTTGGATGTTCAGTGCTGCTCTCTTGAAGCCTCGATTTTTCCTGCCTTCCCAGCATCTGTAACAAACATTTAGTCTATTCATCATTTTATTCGATAATGGAGGCAAACGTAGATGAGGCTGCGCGGGCGCTGGCAATTGCTCAGCGGAAATGGGAGAGCGGCGACAAGGAAGGGGCGCTGAGGCTTGCGCGCAAGTCCAATTCACTGTACCCGACTCCATCGGCGGAGGCAAAAATTGCAGAGTTCGAGCGCTCGTCAGCGCCGAGTCAAGACCAGGAGACAGCATCTGCAGCTGAAGAGACAAAAGCTGCAGGTGGCGAAAAGAAGGAGGCTGGTCCCGAGCTCAGACAACGGCGCGCGCCAAGGCAGGCAGCACCAGCCGAGAGCGAAAAGCCCAGACACACCCCAGAGCAGCTGTCGGCAGTGCGGCGTGTAATGGCGGCAAAGAGCGACTACTATGCCGTTCTGGGAGTGCAAAAGACAGCGACAGAGGTCGAAATCAAAAAGGCGTACCGGAAATCAGCGCTCGTGTTTCATCCAGACAAGAACACAGCACCCGGAGCTGACGAGGCATTCAAGCTGGTTGCGCAAGCGTTTACAGTGCTGAGCGATGCAGACAAGAGGGCGTACTATGACCGCTATGGCGTCGAGTCGCGCGGCACACCCTCGGCGTCGGCTGGTGGCAGCAACATGTTCCACCGTGCGGGCGGACGGCCAATGGCTGGTGGGTTCGAGCAGGAGATCTCTCCAGAGGATCTATTCAACATGTTCTTTGGTGGCGACTTTGGCCAATATGGAGTGCAGTTTGGACCCGGCGTGCGGTTCCAGCAGCGGCGTGGGTTCCCGATCAACATGAACCAGCAGCGGTTCAGGCAACAGCGCGCCAACGAGGATGATGGTGCAAGAGCGACATGGCTTCAGTTCCTACCATTGCTGCTGCTAGTCTTCACGTACTTTGCGTCGACCATCATCTCGATGCTTTTTGGCGAGGAGGCACCGCCGACATACGCGTTCCAGCCAACCAGCCAGTACTCGCAGGTGCGCGTCACACAGCACCGGAATGTCCAGTACTGGGTTGATAGCTCCGAGTTCTCGCAGTCGATTGTGGCAAAGAAGTCGTCAAAGCTGTGGCAGTTCGAGCTGGATGTCGAGTCACAGTACATTTCGCGTCTGCAGCGCAAGTGCCGGCAGCAGATGGAGGCCAAGCGAAACAAGATCCACATGGCGCAAGGGTGGTTTGGTGTTGGCGGTGACAAGGACAAGCTGCGTGAGGCAGAGGCAATGAGGCTGCCGGCGTGCGACGAGCTGAAGCGGTTTAGATAGTTTCAGGCCCATTCTAATAGCGCATTTTAATTTTGATATACAGGTTTGCAAAGTTGGTGGTGGCGCGCAGCTTGTGTTCTTGGCTCTATGTTTCGCATACGATGGTCTCTGGAATCACGCAGATATGGCTGTGTCCAATCGACGCAATCTCGCCGCCAAAAGAAGTAGCGGGGGTTGATTTGCCGCAGCAAACAGGAGGGAACGACAAGGAGCTGCAGCCGAGGGAGTGGATGCAGGGACACATGTTTGTCCCTGCGGGCAGCGAGACGGAGCACTACTCGATATTGGCAGTGCCAGCCCACCGGCCCCCACATATCCACAGCTGCATGGTCTCTGGCACGACAACGCCAGCCTACTACGACGTTTACGTCTCGCAGTACGCACCAGATTGTGTAAAAGTAAGGTACTGTGCGTATAATGTTGAGCGCAACGGCGGTGCGGGGGACGCGCTGGCATTGGAGCTTGATCCGCCTGCTACAGCAGCCCTGTCGGTCGATATGCGGTTTCAAGGCGCCAAGGTCGCATCGGAATTCAAGCTGGTGACAACCAAGCTCATTTCGGGAGATCGGGCCGTGGCGCATCTGTCGCAGTTCGCTCCAACGACTCTGGCAGCACTACAAGGAGCTGGGCTGGAGACAAGCGAGGTAGTTGTTTGTTTGGGCGTCGCCAACGTATCGTGATAAAACGGGCCTGGTCCAGGCCCGTGGGTGGCGCTGTTAATAAACGCATGGAGGAATTGCAGGGGACTGGTGGTCTGCAGGCCTGCGCTTGTTTCTCATTCCTTTCGTCCAGCATATCCGTATATTAGCAGTCCCAATATTTCGCCTGTCGTTGAATAATGTACCGAAGAAAATCCGTGAGCAAAAGGCGGCTGCCGAGCGAAGAGACGCAGCAGGGAGGCGGTGCGTGGTTTGGGCCATCGCCCTGCTGGACCGAGTCGAGCAGCGAAATCGACGGTGCCGAGGTCACAGCGTTTCGCGACCACGTATGCCGACGACTCGACGAGCAATGGATGATGCTGCGGCAGCTGATGCAGATGGTCCAAGACATGGGTCAGCTGCAGCGCGAAGCAGCGCCTGTCAACGTGCCGCTGCGATTCAACCCGCGTGTAGAGCCTCCAAAGGAGCACCGGCCCCACCAGCACAGTTCAGACAGCACAATTGCTTTGCGCATGACCCGCAGGCAAGCAGAGGCAGCTGCGGTGGAGACAGCGCAGGCAAGCACCCAGTCACCGGGTGCAGCTGCAAAGAAGCGGCAGCCATTGAAAATCAAGGGCCTACTTATTCAGGCTAAATCTGCTGCCCAGAGCCCTGCGTCGACCGAGACGCTGTCTGTCGCCAGCCAGTCGTCGCCATTGATGGATATGTGGAGCCAGTGTTTGAGGACACGAGATTCGCTGACTGAGGAAATGGAGCGGTCCAGGAAGACCGGAGAGATGGCCAACGAGATGCTCAAGGATATTGACTCCATTCTCGAGGCTCCAGTCGGGGATGCTCGGAGTGGTCTGGCCCGGCATACAGTAAGCCCCGGTATACATGGCCCGGTCCAGCAAGCAGTAGCACCACCACCCCCAGCACCGCCGCCTCCACCGCCTCCACCACCTCCCATGCCGTGCTCATCGGCGATTGCGGCACCAGCACCACCACTGGCTGCACAACCACCAGCAGCCCCTCCACCACCCCCAGTGACGACATCGCCTTCAAATGTAACTGCGTCTCTGCCTGCCCCTGCCCCTGCTCCCGCCCCTCCCCCGCCGCCACCACCACCACCACCACCACCACCACCGCCGCCGCCGCCGCCCCCTCCTCCCCCTCCTCCGCCTTCAGCGGTCCCGACAGCCCCAGCAGTCCTAGCCCAGCCAACTACTACTCCCAGGGCACCCGCTACGCCACCAGTATGCCCAGCCTGTGCGTGCTCGTGCAAGCAGCACCACCATATTCCGAGCAGCCATGCAGCAGCCGTCCCTGAGCAGAACAAACCGACCACCCAGGCGTCGCCCTCTGGAAGGGGCAAGGCGTCGGTCCTGGAGCTGGCCCGCATGTTTGACAGTGGGCGGTGAAGATTGACCACGCCACGCAGCGGTTAGTGGTCGGCTCCAACATCGCTTTCAGCAAATCTGCTTTTTTTAGGGTGCCAATTTACGGAGCCGGCCCAGTGCAGGTAAAAATAGACAGCTAAAATTGGGGGGCCGCCGGTTCTATCAGCCTGCCTTGCCCCTCGCATGAATGGGGGAGGGTCAGCAGCAGCACCAGCAGAGCAAGCTCTACTCTCTTTTTCCACCAGACTAGCATTTTTATTCCCTTCTTTCCTGCTTCGCTGACACCTTTTTGCACGCTCACTCTATTTTTCAAGAACGCACCTCTCTCTCTTTTTCTCTCTCTCTTTCCCCGTATCTCTAACGTCATACACACCTGTTAATAGCTGATGAAGGTACCATTTTTCCGCTCCAAGAACACACGCTCCAGCAGCCGGCGCGGCTCGGCGCTCGACAACATCGCCAGCGGATCCGAGGAGTCGTCGCCATACTCGACAGCGCCGTCATCGTCGGCAAACATGAGCATGCCGGCCTTGCCGCGGTTCACCAGCACAGCGCCCAACAACGCAACCAGCAACAGCAGCGGGTCGATCGTTGCGCAGCTGGCAGAGATGGAGGAGTTCCTGGGCAAGATTGCCGACTTCCAGGGCGAGGCGCGGCGACTGTTCCCCGAGAACGTGGCCCTGGACCAAATCCTGACCGACCTGCAGGACGAGTGCCAGCGCCGGGTCGAATACATCAGCCGCGTGTCGGCTCCGCCGGCGTGGATGTCGCACCAGCGCTCGTCGTCGTCGTCGTCGACCGTTTTGGCACAAGGTGCAGGCGCCATGTCTACGCCCAATATGGCCGCGGGGCGGCTGCAGCCGGGGAGTGGCGGGTCTGTGCGCGGCCGCGGGGCTATCAGTGCGCCAGGGGTCGAGATGTCGCCGGCGTCGTCGAGCACAGTAACATCGACCAACAGCCATCGGAGCCGCGGCGACAGTGCTGGCGGTAGCAGCGATGGCAGCGGCAGAGGAGCCCAGAGCAGTTTTTTCTCGCGGCATGGCCACAACAAGCATGCCGGCGAGGGCAAGCCGGCCAAGCGCGATTCCAGGGTGGCCGAGAGCCGCCGCCAGGCCACGACCATGTCGATGTTTGTCTCCAAGACGGTAAGCAATACCTGATGTCTCTTTTGTGAATGTTTTTTCTTGCGGACAACAACCGCCATGCATCTTGGCCTCCCCTCCCTTTGCTCCTGTTTTTGCCTCCTATTCGGATTCGCACATGCCCGCACACACAGTATATAACCACTATCGCCCTCCCTTTCGGAACGTGATCTGCCTTGCCTTTTGTTTTGCGTTTTTTGGGGGAGTGTGCGAGCAGCTTCCACCGACAAGAGGCTCGCTGGGCGTGTTCGCATGCGGCTGAGATGGTGTCAGCCAAAACTTGAATCCCGCGTGTTCACGCACTGACTGATTGTGTGCTCCGTTGTTTTTTTCTGGTTTATAGTCCTCGGCA